GTAATAGAGAAGTCGCTGCTTCCGCTCCAAGTCTGGCGGCACACCTGTTTGGGTATAGCGTCCTCGCCGCTCTACACTTGCATGCCACCGAATTGCGCTTATAAATACTTCATCACGCCAGCTTGTAGAAATGCTGCCTCGTACCGTCTACAACTTCTTCCACTACACCGCTGCTTCTTGGCCTCTCCGTCTACCTTCTATTTGGAACACGGATGCCGGCATGGCAAACCGACTATCTTCATTGCTTGACCTCGTCTCGTCGCTCCTCATTTCCCCTCCCGCCATGGACATGTCTTGGAGTATGGCCAAACTGGGCATACCCTCTTTGCCTTGACTCGTCCAGATTCGCTGCATACGTCCAATGATCAAGACCACATACTGAGCGTGTACAGAGAATGGTAAGCAAGCATTCGGCAAGCATACAGCAATATCTCAATAACTCGGTGTCCTGAATAAGCCAATGACATCCGTGTCAACCCGAACACCTATTACATGACGATGCAAATGATCGAACATGAAGCCTCCCGATACTGCTCAGGCAGCCGTGATTGCCGCCCCTATTCGGCTGCCAGCACGCCCTGCCCAACCTTTGTCAACCCTTTCGAATGCATCTCCTGTTCGGTACAATATGCCAATCACGGGTCTTGGGGATGTATTGATAACCGCATGTTGTACATGTCCGGTTCCTCGACGCTTTGGGCTTTCCTTGCGTACACCTCATACTATACTTCGGCCACTATATCTTTTCGGGTATGCCGCTTGAATTAAAAGGAGTACGGCCTATGCGGAGATGCCCCCTTTTTGGATCTTCACACTTGCCTCTCTCGCTAAGCGAGAGTCGTGTGATCATGCCGCCAGTCGGCGACTCCGAGTCTCACGAAGGATTGCAAGGGGAAGCTTGAACTTCAGATCACATTTTCATACTCAGTACTCTCGGCAAGTGGGCTAGGGAATGATGAGCTGAAGTCAAGAGGGACCGAAGAAGCGGTGAGCACGACCTCGGATCCCCTTTACGGAATCGCAGAAGATCATCGGCACTCCGACGGATAGGCCAACTTTGCTAAAGTAGACAACCCTACACACCGGCCAGGATATACAAATATATTGTGAGGAGAAGACGTCTTCAAATTCCGCTCTGAGCATACTCTTTATTCTACTGTCTACACTTGCAATCTGCCAAATTCTCTCCAGTCATGTCAGTCAACTTGGACAACATCTGCTTCTATCAACCACCGACGCCGGTAGTCAATCACCGAGCATCCAAAAACAAAGAAAACCGAAGCATTAGCAAACGTCTCTCTGTTATGGGGGAAGTCCCGATACAATCTGCGACTGCATCCAGCACGTTCCATGGAGTGACAAGCCCTACCATCGACCCTGTTGATCTTACTTCCGAAGTCCGTGTAGGACCAGTCGGTAACATCCTTGAAAACAGAGACAGCACTTCCAGCAGCATTGTCGGCGACGTCGGACTTGATAGACTTTCTTCTGTCCCGGTCAATGAGCCCACAACATCAGACACGATGGTTGAGAGCATGGCGGCTGGGACATCAGTGGCCCACTCTCTAATCAGAGTGCCAAATGTCACAGCTTTTCAACCCCTTGTGCTCACTGAAGCTTCAGACAACTTGTTGCCAGAGTCAGGCTTTACCGGTGAAATTGAACCCTACATGGCTGGCTCCGGGCAAATTGATGATCACGCCGCATTTACACCAGAGACAACCTTGGAGACGCAGAGCGAGAACGCCACCTCCCCTTCTAGGCGGGAGCAGCAAATCGATCTATCAAGCGGTCCACCGAGGAGCGCCCTTCCAGCCTGGCTGGAATCTTGTCGGTCGCCCAGGACTAGCAACAAGCAAACCCCACAGAGCTCCGGCAATGTCATGGCTGCTTCTAGAATGTCTGGCTTTATAATGCAGTCCACTGAAGATGGCTCGATATTTCGGGCATTGTCACCGTCTACCTCAACACCATCCAGGCAGAGAAGATATAGCGTTACGCTTGCTGATATCGGTCGACCCGTCCCCGGCCAAACCACCCCTGAAACCATAGGAGTCTCCGTTGTCGACCAACATTTGGGCAGCTCAACAGCCGAGGCTGAGCCTGAGTCCGCTGCTGAACCCTCCTCGACCAGTCGGGCATCGTCAACTGCGCCTCAAGGGGTCGACGATTTTGAAGACGCAGCTCTAATCTCCCCGACGGCTCCTCCATCTCCAACCCCTTCGACCTCATCTTTTCCATCTCCGGCTCGCTCAACTCCTGCTCTTCGCCGGTCCTGCAGGGTCAATCCTCCTATTGGTGGCTATGCGGAGATTGAGTCCGACGCAGAAAGTAACGTCAATGAACGCCCAGACATGTCTCCAGATGAAGACAGACCATTCGGCAGGCGGAACCATCACTCAGACTCGTCCGGCCAGCTCGGTCACAAACGACGCAATACCTGCTTGCATGAGGATTCCGTCCGGGACACAAGAGCATCCAAACGGTTTCGCAGATCACAGAGAACATCGAATCATACACCAAAATCCAAAAGACAGTCACAGCAAATTGCAGAGTACATGAAGGAGATTGGTGGCGTGAGCCCTCCGCAGTCAGAGAACGCATCGCATGAGAATATTCTCGCAACCTTCGACGAATTTTCCGTACCTGACGCACCGTTGGCCAACCTTGTCTTTAAGCGCGTTGTCGAGGCTGAAAAAGTGACTATCTCGATGCAATTTGAGGACGCGAGTATTTGCCATCGATGCCGAAACCCACTACAGGTTCTCCAGCCTTCGAGTCCTTCGTTGCCTGAAGCGGGCCTTTCACGGTCACCGAGGAGGCGTAAACCGCGCTTCTCAGAAGCCGAAGATCGACTTTTGCGCCACTTAAAAAAGGAAGAAAACCTTTCGTGGAAGGGTATTCACCGCGAGTTTTCTCGCCGATTCCAGGGTCGAAGTATGCAAACATTACAAGTTCATTACAGTACGAAGCTAAATCATTGAATTGAATCTGGGTTTTGCCTCTTCATCATTCTTCCAGGTGTTCCAAAACTCTTGTGATGTCCGCCCGCTGTGATTCGTGAACGTCATTATAGGCAGTAGATGGCGTGCGCTGTATCCAAAGTAATTCACAATTGAGCTGAGAGTCTCCAAGAATAGTCGTCTACATTTACCAGCCAGTGTTGAGACTAAATGAGTGTGCCATCAAATAAGCTTGCGAAAGCTTTAAGATACGAAAGAATCGACAAGGATATTAAGACGCACCGCCTGCCGTAACTGGAATGCCCATGTTTGTTTTCGACAGCAACCGTCTGACCGCCTACCGGATCTTGTGCTTGCGAAAAGACAATTCACAGCTTGTCTCACCGCCTGCTCAAATAGTATCCGCTCCATCACCCAGTACTTCTCTTTGGGCTTGCTCACCGCCTGCCGACCAGAGTGGTGAACGCCAGGGATCTTTTACACCGCTTGCCAACTTTGCAGCGTCGCCATGAGCTTCACTCCACCATAGTACCTAACGGCTCTGCTATCATGCCAAGAGGCTCGACCGCCAATACTAAACCTTGTTTCATCCATGTACATGTGCTGCTCAGTCCACCATCGTCTTCCAAGGTCGACGAAAAGCTAGAGTGAACAATTTCTGGGTTATCACTATGGACAGGCAGAAGAAAGTACTTTTCGGGGTTCGAAGATGTCAGACTGCCCCAGGACATTCGTTACGGTACTTGTTTCGCCCCAAGCGATCTGACTCATGCTTGACCAGAAGTATGAATAAGGCTAGCAAGGGTATCCTTATACAAGGGGATCATACACTCACTATATAGATATGGGGTTTCTTCCCATAGCCATTCATTCGTCATACTCATCAATATACACAGAATGACCCCTGCCTGTCT